CTCTATTTAACCACGCCTGGCCGGCCGGCGAAGCAACGTGACTCCTGTGACGAAAGCAGCCGTAAAACGCTCGCGCACAAACACACACGAGGGGGCTCTGGCCTGTGACACATACAAAACGCATATAGGCCATCACAGCGCCACCCGGTGGCGGAATTACTTTCTTAACCTGCACTATCTAAAGAACAGACGAATTTGTATGTACCGTTTTTTCTTCATATTTTACACTGTATAATATTTTTTTCGGTTAAGTGTGGATGGGTTTATTTAGCTGTCTTTTTATTTCTTTGAGTTCAAACAATTCAACACAACAATTTTTGTCTCACGTGGTAAATAGTTTGAAACGAGTTTCCCCCCCCACTTCGCTCCTTTTACACTGTTTAAAAGATGATTGTTGGTGGTTTTTTTAAATTCATAATTTGACAAAATAAAAACATTTTAGTTTTTTTTTTTTTTTTTTTTTTTTTTTTGATGCATTAAGTTTTACATTAGGTAACAGTTGTTAAATAATTTCACTGAAAAAAAAGTTCCCAATTATAATTTTTACATTCTAATGAACATAGTATGCGTTTATTTTATTTACTTATTTAATTTTTTTTTCTTTTACAATTAAAACGGTATAGTTAGTGCAGGAATTGCCCGCCTGCAGAGGAAACCCAGTGGGTTGTTTCTGTTTTACGGTCAGATCTGGGGTTGACGTGCAGAGCCGCACGTCCACGCATCCCGCTTCCACAGCCTGGCCTGCGTGACTCAGGTTGGGGAAAATCACACGCAAAAAAAAAACAAAAAACATTCACCTGCGAACTTAACTCTGCCGTTTGGATGAAATGTGCTTTAACTGGAGAGATCGCCACATTTAAATGTTGGGATCAAATCAACATAAAAAACAAACAAAAAAACTTTAGACTTTGAGCATAATAAATGACGTGTCATGAGTGGGAAAGTGATTTATGATCTGTTGCTTAAAATAAAATTTTTTAAGCCATAACAGGTCTGAAATGTTCTGTGCTTTGTACTAATCCTGTCAGGATGGGGGGGTTTTCTTGCATACCCCTCAGCATCCAGGCAGGGATTCAGCTGCAAATTAAAAAAAAAAAAAAAAAAAGGTCAAATAAGGTGACGTGCTGCGTGCGGCTGCAGCGTTCCGCAATGGAGACGCTCTCATGCAGCGACTCTCTGAATGCATCCAGGTTTTATCGTGACTTTGTTTTATGTGCATTGTGTGTTTTTCCCTCCTTCTGTTTTATAAAACGAGCTGTGCAGCACGAGAATAACACACGTTAAAACTGTCACACAAAAAACAACCGTATAGGTTTTTGTGCCAAAAAACTAAAAAAAAAGCCTTTTTTAATATTTCAAATCTAAATTTCCAATCACTGAAATATTGTGTTATTTTGTCTTTTTTTTATGTTTAATGCATTTTTCTGCCAACAGCCATCATCACTATCCACAATAAATTTGAAGAATTTACATGATGTAATTTCCCTTTGGAATCAATAAAAATAAAATTCCAAATTCTATATGATATAATATATATAATATATATATATTTGAATTTAAATAAGCACATTATGTGCATTTTTTAAAGTCTCCTGCTCAGTTGCATGTCCCTCAGATTGTGTGTCTGATATTTCTACATTAATCCCCTGCACACACTATCTTATGTTATAATCTTGTGCAAAATCTTACTGCTACTGCTGATATTGCCACTCTTGTTATAAGTACAGAAATGTAAGCCTTTCTGGACTTTGTCAATCTTAAAAAGTTGACCAAATTTCCACCATTGCCTTAACCTGGACCGTGAAATCTCTTGGACTCGTCTCTAAAAACTGAATTGTTCGTTTCCTGTCCGTTCTGCGCACGGATGGCACTCTTTTTCCATTTGACCACCTGAACAAACAGGAAGCTGGGTGACTCAGAAAAACTGCACGGTCTGAGTGAGTCAGATACTCGAGACAAAAACTGCAAACGCTGTTCATCAACTGACCAGGACACAGTCTGCAGAGGAATCTGTTGAATGGAGAATTACAGGAAACAGAACATGTTATCCAGAACTGACATATCCACAACTCATGCATCACCAGAAGGAATACTAACATGTCACTAATTTATTTTGAGGCATCCTTTGGTAGACAGAGTCTCATATAGGTAAAAGTTGTTTGTATAGCTGTTGTTTATAGTGGAAAAAGTCTTTATTTCTCAATATAAACCAGTTAAAAACTTCTGATGTTCCCTTGCAGACTGTTGCAGTGAATTTGCCTCAAACCTCCTGCCGTAAGCGGTCCATGATCTCCTTAAAACCGAGGCGTTAGCACACAGGAGGAAGTGACAGTGATGGAGACTACCTCAAGGGGATGAACTGCTTGTCTGTCTTTGAACAAGTTTTAACAAAATTAGCTGCTTACTCTTGTGGGACTGCAGTAGAGAGGAAGTAATTAAAGTTTTAGACAGGATAACACTTGATTAAGGTTTTGGTCTGTAATGGATTTTGCTTTGATTGATGTCTTCCATGTGGACTTTGAAGCATTTCTGGACAACCTTTCCACTTTTATTTGTTCTATTAAGTTTTGCTTTCACCTATTTATGTTTGTACCGTTTAGGTATTGCTAAGTGTTGTTACAGGATGTGTCTGAAGTGTGATTGGGAGACTTTTGTTTTGGTTCTATTGTTGCCTTTGGGATCTTCTGTATGAAGCATGGCCCAGATGTCTTCAGATTTGACTGTTATATAATGTAGTTTGAAGCTTAAACACTGTCAAATCTGCAAAGGAGCCCAAATCATAATCCCTCCATTACCAAGCTGAAAAGATGGTTTGGTTGCTATTATTTCAACGTCAATAAAAGACCAGTTGATCACTGGCTGATCGGAAGGTAAAGATGTTGGAGTTCCTCTGTTGGAATCTGATCTTAGTGTCTAAACAGGCCAGGACAACTCACCAAGAAGATCCGGGAGGGGGGACTACAGTGAGAAGGCAACAATTTCTCAGCAGAAGACCTGAAATCAGTTTGGAACGATCTGCAAAATGTCGGCAAATAAAGAAGCCCATCCCCCACCTTCAGCAGGATCCTCATCTCGCATACAACTGTAACAACTTCTGCTGCAGGTCTGGGAAGGCAGCAGTTCACACCTCCCAACCCTCACTCTGAGACAAAAGCTCCCCATTCACCAACCTTCCTTATCTCTTTAGACCCCCTGCCTGAACTAGAGGAAGACATCAATAGTCTCTTTTAGCTGTTTCCCCCTTATGCCTGAAAACCATTGTGGACACACTGACCCCAATCTTTACTCAGATCTTCAACAAGTACCTTCTTGTTTCAAGCGTTCCATCATCATCCTGGTCCCCAACAAACACATTTCCCTAGGTTTAAGTAATCCCTGGTAGGTTGTCCTCACAAAATGCCTCAAGTGACTCAACTGGAGAATTTGAAGGCTATCCAATGGCCCCTGCAGTTTGCTTCATATGCAAACATGTTAGCAGATGATGACCAAGAGCCTGTTTGTAGACTTCAGCTTGGTCTGCAACACCGTCAACCCAGACATCCTCAACCAGTTCATGGTGCCATTGGATCACTAGCTTCCTGACATACCAGCAGAACAAGATGAGGGCGGGAATCAACTTCTGACAAGAATCAACACTGGCAACCCCCAGGGGTGTCTGAGCTCCCCAGGGTGTATTGTCTCTAAAGAAAACTGCTGCTTATCAGTGATCTGTGAGACAAAGTTGAGACTATTGTCATTGGTCTCAGCCAAGACAAAGATAAATTTGCATAGAGACAGGAGGTGGGTCGACTGGTCCAGAACTGCCTCTTACTTAACCTTCTCATGACAGTGGAGATAATGGTGGACTTAAAGCAGATTCTCTCTCTCCCATTGCCATGGATCAACTTTCCCTCCATTCCTAACAAGGTCTAGAGTTGGGAAAAGGGCAGCTAACATCTCTGTTGAACCCACACATCCTGGACACAAACTTCAGATCAGTCCTATAGAGTGTCATTTGCAACAACCAGCTCCCACAGTAACAGTTTCTTCCCCGAGGCTGAACACTTTAGGGGTGTCAAACTCCAGCCCTCAGGGGCCGATGACCTGCAACTTTCAAATGTGCCTCTGCTGCATCACTTGAATAGAATAATTAGGTCATTAGCAAGGCTATGGAGAACTGATCTCCCTCAAGGAGGGGGTAAATAAGCCATTTCATTCCAGTGTTTTGTAGCTGTGGCACATCTGAAAACTGCAGGACACCGGCCCTCGAGGACTGTAGTTTGAGACCTGTGCTACAAAATACCAAGATTTCTAGGATGCATATTTGCACTTAATCAACCTTATCTTCATATTTTAAAAAAACCCTGTACAGCTGCATATTTTGAAGAAATAAAATGTCCACAAATTGGATAGAGTTGATTCTGATTTTGGCCTACACAGTGCTGTCAGAAAGGTTTTATAGAAGAGAACTTCTGATCCTACAAGTCTGGTAGTAATCAAGCATGGATGCTGCTCATGAACTGCAACACATTAAATCTTTAATCTCAGTTTATGATTTAACAAGATTAGGGGGGATTGCTTTCACCCCAGGATGGTTTAGAAACCCCATTTTCAAAAACACTATCACAAACATTTAGTTGTGACAGAAAAAATTCAAAAAATCAGAAAGGGCACTGTACCTTTTTGTGTTAACATGCAATATTTTCCTTGTTACCCATATTTCCTTGACCTTTGAACCATGCCATATAAACAAAAAGATGAAACCCTTGAAATGGGTTCTCCTTCACATTTCTGTTTCATTATCCAAACCTCTGGGACGTCTTCTCTGGCTCACTTACATAAGCTCTGAATGAGGCTGAGGCTGCGTTCACTGTCCTAGTCCCCTTCCTATAATCTAGCGAGGCTAAGTTAGGACTCCTGGACCCCAGAGAGACGCCGAAATCTCAGGAAAGGAGTATTATGTCAAAAACTAGGCCTCCGTCGCGCTTACCGGATGAAAACACTGAGAAAGGAATCCAAAGACTGGTTCATATCTTTTATTTTGTATTGGAATAAAGGTGTTTAATAATCACAAAAAAAAAAAAAAAAAAACACCAAATGACAAACTCATTATTACTACATATACACTGCTGTTTATAAAAGAAAAACATATGTACAGGCGGGGAGGTTGCTGTGGCCTCACAGGGTCAGCTGGCAGACATCACACCTGCTCCCCCAAATCCAAAACACGAAACTTGTCTAGATTGTAGAAGCAGGCCTTGACGACTCGACCCCCGAAATAACGTCCATTTAGATCCACAACGGCTGCAGAGGAAGAGGAGGTCAAAGGTCAAACGGGATCTTCAGTATTTTTTTTAGAATAATTGTGCATTTAAACCTCTGCTTTCCTTTAACGTTACATCACTGCAGGGCCTTGCGTTAATGTTCACGTGTCAAAACCACAAACTTCAACCTTTTCTATTACATCAACAGCTCAGATTGGATTCAATTTTCAAGTCCTAGTCAAAGTTTCAAAAAGGAAAAAAAACAGCATAAGTTTACTGATGATGAGAATCTGGAATTATTTCTGACCTCTGGATATGACACATAAACAAGAAGGTCATTAAATAATTTCACAGATTGTTTTAATGATACTTGGCTGATAGATTAAACGTTTTAATCCATCAATTAAAAAATTTGATAGATTTGCAATAGCTCACCCAGAGCACAGAAATATGAGGATTCTCTAAAATGAACAAAACAAGAAGCTTGTTAGGAGACTGCTACAAAAGCAGGAAACAGACTACATCGCAGGGCATTCTGGGTAAATACAACCAAAACAAACGCTGGAGATGAGCACTGAGAGAAATGTCTTGTGGTCTTTTACCAGAAGAATCTGGTAAAAGGTTCTTCTGGATCCTACTACCCCTAAAATCTGACGCCACTTTACTTTTGATTCCTGAAGAAGGAAGTGGCGCTCAGTGTGTTCTTCAGAGGTTTTTTGTGTCGTTTCCTTCAGTGGTTCTGGTTGCGGCGCCACCAAACGCGAGGAGGGGAATAAGTTTCTTAAAGAGTTTGATTTATTTGACACAGTGCAGTTGAAAAGGAACCACAGCAGCTGAAAATGGGACAAACGTCGCAGTTATGGTCCCAAATCTATCCGAGTCCACCGGACCATCAACTGTGAAAGCTTTAGACTCTATGAACTGGAATACTATCAACTGCTTGTCTTGAAAAAGGAAAGTTGTTACATAAAAAACACAAACTGAACTCAAAGTGACCCTAGATAAAAACATCCAATGAGAAGATTCTTTTTTTCCTCCGCCCATCTCAACCCATCTTCTCAGTATAACCTGTTCTTTGAGAGCGCGCCCCGCTTTCTGGGAGATGTGATGTAAGCGCGGTTCTGCCGGTGCCATAGGGAGTTATGACATAACACCGCAGGGAGTCGAGTCTCACCTGGATTCTGATCTGGACCGACCCAATTAAGAGTGGGACACACTTTCGGCCCACGTTATCAGAGCGGTTACACAACGGCGAAAAGAAAGCGAGGCCATTATGTAAAGAAAAAAAAAAAAAGAAAGAAAGTTTGCTTTGGGTTAAACAAAGCAAACCAAATGCTGACCTTTGATGGCCGACTCCACCCGCTCAAACTCTAGGAATATCCTGACGGCTTCATCATCGGAAACGTCGGCAATCTGTGAAGGAGAGTAACCTTGTTAATTGTCGGGTTTTTTTTCAATCACTTTGGGCGAACTCTGTCAAAGTTTATCCTTCGCACCTCAAAAATGACACATTTCACAACTTTGCCGTATTTCTCGCACTCTTCTTTCGTCTCCCCCTCCAAGTCTTCGTCCACTTCTCCTCGACCCACCATGTTCTGCGAAAGCGCAACACATTTTAGGTTTCTGCTTTTTATAAAGTACATCTTGTGGAAAACAAAAAACTAGAAAAACACAAACATACCCTGAGCAGAACCACTTTGGTGGGGTTTTTCAGGATCTCCGTCAAGGGATTGGCCTCCGACTTCTTGGAAGAGTCCGCTGGTTGGTCGGAAACGCATAACAAGACAACGTTTACAGACGTGATAAAGATGTTTGCTCAGGTCGTGAAACTATTGGAGCCGGTGTTCAGTGGTGGCCGAGCTGGGTGTACTTTTCCGATACGCCGGTTGCAACAACAGAGCCTGGTTTTATTGTCTCGCAGCACGGCTGAGGAACGACTGACCGGGTCACTCAGCCGCGCTGCGGTTGGTGTATCAACGAGACCCAGGAGACGCCAACAGTTCTGAACATTTCTCCAGTTTCAGGTTGACGCGTCTTTTAAGCGTTTGCTTTATTTATTGCTTGATATTAAGAGATATCAACTACAGGAATGAGGAATGGCTCTGTAGTTACATGACAGCAGTGACCTTAACAGGTCATTGCTGAAGCTTCATCTTCAGCAATTTCTGACTCGGCTTTAGAAAAGGCAAAGAAATGGAAAATGGAAGCCGATATCAGACTGAAAAATCCAATCTTTTTTTCCTCATCAATGAACGAATCATACCCAAGACTGACGCTCTTTACTGTTGTGCCTCAAAGCATGGCTAATGGTTTCATGGCTTAGCAAACTCTGTTGTGGAACAACTAGAAATAAAGGAATAACCTGGCATGCAGCCACATGTGACATCTGCTGTCCAATCAGCACATAGAGCTGCTTTTAGACATATTAAACAAATGAATGAGGCTTTTGTTTCAAGTATTGCGTCTTTTCATTGTTACACAGTTAGCCACATTTAAAGTAGGTACAAAATTATTTATACTGTTGCTGAAATAATAAAACAGATTTTTTTTTACAACTGAAATATTTGTATTATTTTGATTCTGATTCCTGATCATGACAATTAAAATGTAAGTAGTTTGATGCTTATTTAGCAGAATATCATTTCTTTTTTCCTCCCATTTTGTTCTTAGATGTTAGTGGGTTAACTAGTCAAGCTATTTGTTTGACTAGTCTGATTAAGGTTAAAATATATTTTTTTATTTGGCAACTGCAATATTTCCAAAGGTGTACATTTGTCATTGTTATTATTGTTATTATTATCCATGAATAGAACAGAGTAGCAGTTTTCTTTCTCCCAGCGGTTCTAAGATGTACACCACCATGGGGAACTCCAGGATTTCTATCCTGGCATCTCCTCAAGGGATTTTAAGTCGTAGGAACGATATGTGCTGGAAGGTCTCACAGCTTCATCTTCAGCAATGGCCATTTCTGACTCTGCTTTAGAAATCCTGCTTGAAACTGTGTGATTAGCGCCTGTTCTTAACACTGATGCCAGATGAGAAAAGCCTGTCAGAATAATAATCAGGAGTATTTATACATTAGATTTCGGTCGATCAATTCAAGTCTTTTTAAGGATGTGAAAAGACTGTTATCGGCCTGCCGGTTAATCGGTTAACCATGTGACATGACAACTTGGCACAAAACTATTTGAAAAGGACAAAAGACACACTCTGAATGGAATGGCAAACATGCTAACGGGTTCAAGGGGCACTTGTGTGGTTAGCAAACTAAAATACATAAAAAATAAGAATAAGAATGAGGTTTTGATAGACGTTTTCAGAAAACATGCATTACTAAAACAGAACTTGTTCTGCATTTAACTTCAAACTTTAGCAAAACAATATTCTAAAAACACAAAAATCAGTTCATGTTAGTGGAACTGGACGCACTAATACACATGCAGACACACTTTTAGAAAAGCTAGACATAAAACCAGACAGAGCGTTTCCCACACAAGAGTAGGAGAATAGGATGGGGGCCAACCTGCAGAGCCTCCGCTGGAAGGATCAGCAGCCCCAGACTGGCTCGACCCTGCTGCTCAGTCGCACCAACACACACACACACACACACACACACACACACACACACACACACACACACGCAAAATAAAACACATGCACACAGAGTCACTGTAAAACATCCATCTGCTGCAGAATGACACCGTCTTACTTGCTGCTGCGGCTAAAACGTGAAAGACAGCATCAGTGATGAACACATCAAAAGCAGATGGAGACAGAGAAGCAGAATTAGACGTTCATGCTGCCGACGGATAAAAATGACGCCGAGCTGACAGTGGAAACACGTAAACGGTGAGAATTAGAGACATACGTTTTTCTGCGGCGTCCCCGATGATGATCTTCCCGCCCCTCTTGCTGGTCTTCTCCACAGACAGCGCCGTGCTCAGGCCCTGCTCATGCTTGCCGAGGCCCTGGCCTTCTTTGAAGCCATACTTCTGCATGATCTTATGGGCCACCGTACCGCTGTTGGGGAGGACACTTGTCACATAGGGGCTTCTTGTTCTGAAGCTACCAAACTGAGAGGAAGAGGCTGGAGGACTGACCCCATGTTGGCTAGGAAGGAGCTGGTGGGGCCGGGCGGCGAGCGCGGCCGGTCCGAGTCCTCGTACATGGGGGGAGGGATGGCGGCCTTGGCGCCTCTGCCGGGACGACCTTCGTCTTCGTAGGCGTAGGGAGTCGGGCCTGCAGGGCAGAACACAAACACTGCTGCTGGAAACAGGGACTGGACAACACTGCCCTCTGCTGGATTCTAACTGATTTAAAGTCTCCTTTTCTGCATTTTAAATGATTCACCATTTAAATTCTAGCGCATTAATTTGAAACATTAAACTGTCCGTGTTACATCAGGGAAATGTTCAAACCCTGTGAACTCTGAAAAATGATGCCTCTGATAGGGTTCCTGACATTTTTCTAGTAAAAGGTCTTCCAGAATCAGCCAAGAGCAAAAGGAATTAAGAAAGAGCAAAGTAAAGAAGTCAATAAAAAGGGTGAAAGAAAAACACAAAAGCGCAAAAGAAAAATATAGAAAAAGGAACAACCTATGTTCTTGTGTCCAAGAAGAAAAGACACAAGTAAGGAAGGAAGAGAATGAAGGACACAAGGAAAAAAAGTGAGGAAACAAGAAACGTAGGAAGATTTAGAGAAAGGGGGAAGAAGACGACCAGGAAGTGAGGAAGTAAAGAGAGTTTGTCATAGTCTTGTGTTCTACTTTCATACTAATCCAGACCTGGAAGATAAATGGAAAGCTTTTCCAGAGGAACTCTGAACCTCACAATGACAAAGTGAATTGGGATGTTACAGAATGTCACATCAGAAGCTGAATAGTTCGGCAAGGTGCTGTGATGAGTTGTCACGGTTACCTTCTCTGTCCACGAGTGACGAAGGAGGGGCAATGGCTGCTCCGCCCATACCTGGAAACCATGGAAACAACCTGTCACTCAAACACACTCAGGATGACTTCACTAATCATAGTCTGGGCTGCAGTGACACTCAGTGGCTCGTTTAAAAATTAGACAGAAAACAGTTCATATGTGGGAAATGGAATATCATCAAAAAAAACATATTTAATGAAAAAAAAATAAATTTACATTTAAACCAATTAGATTAAGTCATACACAATATAAGGTAGTTCCAGTATTTAGCTTGGTCATTTTTATATTCAGTGATAACATTATAATATGATTTAGAGCTCAAAAAGGTCAATTTTACATAATACTGTCCCTTTAAGAGGAGCTTCTTGCTCTTTACTGATCGATAAACTACATATCCCCGCGGCAACAAGAACTCACTTCGTTTCCTCCACTCTTTCTCGTACTCCTCCTCTTCATCCGAGTCTTCTTCTGTTGCCGGGAAACGAGAAAATCCACTGGGAGCGCCGCCTTCGTGTCTCTCTTTCCTCCTCCTGAAACACACCGAGTTTAACGATTTGGTTTGCGGATGTTCAGATTACATTTTCAAGTTTTAAAAAGTAAAAAAAACAAAAATAAATAAAAAAAAGAAACAACTTTATGCACTTTTCCCTCTCTTCGATCTCCTTCTGTCGCTCCTGCTCCCTCTTGCGCTGCATCTCTTCCCGGTGGCGCTTCATCACCTTCTCGTAGTCGTTGGGGAACATGGGGTCGTACTCGTCGGCCAGCGGGATCAGAACGTCCCCGGAGGAGAATCCGCTGGGAACCGCATCCTGAAGGAACCAAATCCAGTTAAATGAAAAGAAAAAGAACATTCTAGGGGCCAGTGCTGGCAGACCTTGAGTCCAACGGCGGCGTGTGGAGGAGTGTCTGTGCTGAGCCGGTCGTCACTGGAACCTCCTCTCTTCAGATCGATAACGGGAGCCAGAACGGTGGTCTGCTTCATCCGCTGAGTCTGATAACAAGCATAACCTTTATCAAACATCTAGTTATTTTCATATTTTTGGCATTATTCAGACTTGTGTGATTCTTCTACACATTTGATTGATAGGGCAGTTTTCACTCTGTCCTGCCCTCCACACTAAAGAGTTCCAGTTGTTAAATCCCAGAGGGAAGTTAAATGCTGCTGACAGATGTGGGCAGGAATGGTCTCCTGCAGCAGTCTGTATTACAGCGGTTCTGTGTAGGCCTCTGCCTGAAGACGCTGTGTTGTTGTGTAACATTCTTGTGATGACGCATCTCAGCGTTGCCGGTTATTATTAGAGCTGCAGCTAATGATTATTCTGACAATTAATCGGATAAAGAATTTGAAACATTCTGCTGATTTTTTTTTCTTTAACGGGTTAAGCCTTTTTACACAATATTAGAAACATATCAAAAGGTGCAAATGAGCAAATAATTTAATAAATTAGTTTAAAACTAAACTTTCAAGCCACACCTGACTTTCAAATATGTGCTTTTATAACAGATCCTAGCAGGTTGACAGCAGTTGATAAAGTCTGTATAAATCCCAGGTTTAGTTTTCTGATCAGACAGATTTCCTGTTTGCTTAAGCAGTTGTGTCCATGTTGCAAAACATGCATTATGGGAAATGTATGGGCCTATCCAAGCTGTAAATCAAACACCCGAGCTGTTGTGCACTAGTCCCTGCTCTGCACCATTCCTGGCAGCATGGTGAGCTACCTTAGCCTGGGTCAGGGCCGCTTTCTTCACTTTCAGCTGAGACTGGAGCAGCTTGAAGTTCTTGGACCAGCCTTCGGTCTTGGTGTCACTTGCACCGACACCGAGATCATCGTACAGCGACATGCTGACCCGGTCAGTGGTGCCGCTTTCTGCAAAACACATACACGCACACACACAGGACTAGACTTTAATTCAGACTCAGCGGTCTGAATTAAAGTTAGAAGCACCGGCAACACCAACTAATGAATAAAGCTAGCATACAAGTAGCATAACTAGCTCGCATCAAAACCAACAGCAGTTTAAATTGCCTGATAGGTTAGCAAAGCTGACTGAATGATGGTTACAGTTTGCTAACATAAGCTAAAGCTAATATCACTGACCTGTATTCTCTTGGAGAAAATACGGGCACAAATACAGAATTATAAGAATTCGCTTTCAAAGTTCTTAAAATACAACCAAATGGATATCGACATTAGACATGAAAGGCTTTAGCAACATCTGCTTTACCTCCACCCCTCGCTGTAGCTTGCGCGACGGAGGCAGCGGAAGAACAACAAGACAAACCGGAAGCTGCGTGACAATAAACGCGCCGCCCAGCGGTGGGAGGATTTAGTAGATATTTTCTGCTTTACATTTCGACGTAAGCATGTTATTATTATTATTATTATTATTATTATTATTATTATTATTATTATTATTATTATTATTATTATATTATTATTATTATTATATTTTTGCAAAAATGTATCTGCTTCATTTTAATTCTGCAACAAAAGTGGCTGACTTCACTCGAGAACACCAGCAGGTGGCGTAACCTACCAAAAAAGATCGTCGTTCTATTTCTTGAGCCTTCTCAGCGATGTGAAATGTGGCCTCACTACTTGGACTTTGTCCGTTATAAGCTATTTACTTTCACTTGAATTTGAACCACCGAGCTACAGTACAGTCTCTTTTTTTTTTCTTTCTTCCTGCTTCTCTTTCTTTCTTTTCGACAAAAGAAATGTCCAGGAGACATCTAGGGTGGCTTTCACAGCTCAGACTGCTATGGCTTCCCTTAACTGCATTTTTACCGTCCACTCAACTTTATTTTCCGTCAAAAGGAACTGTGACGTTCACCTGCGTACACCAAAACATGCCCATAAAAAAAGAAAAGGAAAGCAAAACCAAACCGAAATAAAAAAACAACAACACAACGTTAGAAATGATCCTTATTGCATGTGAGTCATGACTCCATGTCACGCACGAGTCTCTGCTTTGCAATGAAATCACTTAAAATGAAACGACCTTTTGATCATTTCGTTGATTATAATTGTAAACTGCAAGTCGTCTTTGCCGACAAACAGCAAAAAAACTACAAATATGGTGTCGATCGAGACGGTGGCCAGCAGTTGCGCTCCGACATCGTTGGCGCAACTGAAAGTGGGGAGATTTTGAAAGTGAAAGCATGACGGGCGGCGAGCCCCGCGCTGGAGGCAGGAGGTCACTCCCCGACGATGGAGTGGTCGAAGAGGGGCTGGGTCGTGTAGAGCCGCGCCGAGCTGGCAGATGGATCCGCATCGACTCTCCGCGTCCGTCTGCGTCCTGACGGCGTGTCTCCTCGGAACGACGCGTCTCTCCAGCGTTGGTAGGGATCTGGATCTGCAGTCACGCTGTGAACGATTTCAAGTCGAATCTCGTTCCCACACCGAGTGAAGGAGTCCGGGTCCGGTATAGAACCGCGTCTGTTTTCATATTGAATGTTTTTTCCGCGTGGTTAAATATTGTTCTGTTATTTACTTCCTCTGTGCGAGGCGCAGTCCTGGTTCAGGTGTCAGTGTAGAATTACAAAACAAAGCGCGGCTCACGTTGTTTACGTCTGACAGTTCCTGTTATTGAGAAAAACAAACAAACGAGCAACTGGATGTTTCCTAAATTAAGATGATAATAAATTTTCAAGTGGTTTTCAGGAACATCTATGAATCACTAAATCTTGAAATGTATATTTCTACTAAGAAAACATATTGCTGCATGAGTTTTCTGTTCATCTGAGGAATAAGCTGCTTCCTCTTTGCAGTTTTCATGGACTTGTGCTGAAGGCAATGTGGCCTATGATCCGTCCTGTTCTGACCTTCTGGGCCAAATCACCATCAACTGTTGAAGCTGTGCATGATAAGTCTGCATTGACATTGGTATTGGCTGATATTAATAATGAATCAGTTAATTCATTATAATTTATGCAACAGTGTCAAAAGAGTACAGGGGAAAATACATACAATAACAGCTATAAACGCAATATCAAGGTCGGATATTGATATTGGTGCAAACTGTCATATTGGTGCACCCAAGTTCAGATTGTCTTAGATACATTAGAAGTATTAGGCAATAAATAAGCTCATGTAAATCAGTTTGCCAAGCTGTAGTTTCTCCAAATGTCCCGGTTGTGCTTTGCCTGAAGCGGCACCGTGGCAGACAGGATGCAGGAGGTGACCTTGACTCCACTTCATCTGGGCTCAGGTTGACAGACGGCGCCTAGCAGCGTGTCAAAACTCTGAAAAACCTCAACACAACTGGAGTCAATTCCTGACTGTATATGTAAAAAGACAAACAAAAAAACAATTCAACTGAGAGGGTAGAAAGTTTTTTTGTTTTTGTCGCTCATTGGCTCCCTGCTATTGACGCCCTGGGCGTTTGCCGATGTAACCGATATCTAAAGCTGCCGGTGTTAACCTTGTGGTCATGTTTTAAATGTTCTTAAATTTTATGATTCAGGATGTAATGGTGTTTTTTCTTATCTCTTTCTTTCAAGCTCTAAAGTTATATAATGTAAGCTTGTTTACAAAAAACAAAAAAAATCCACAGCACAGTCAGCTGTCTTTTTTTTATGATGTCGGTTGTGTAAAACATTGATTGCAGAAGCACACTTCGAAGTAATTGTTTTCTGTCTACAGTCATAAATCTCTATTATTACAGAATTTTGGTCAACGCTTAATGATAAAGCTGGTCTTCCATGCTACTTGTTGATTTTTTTTTGCAATTGTGCTGTCTTGAACGCTAACTTCCAACAAGCTAACTGAAGTTTGCCGAGTTTAAGGTGCAGCTCTTGTGTTACGTTGTCATTTGTTTGACCGTTGGACGCTTGTTGCTCTTTCCAGATTGTTCAACTGCAACTACTGCTTCTCCAAAACGTCATTGCTGGTATCTTTTCTCCTGGACATTCATATAAGCTCTAGAGACACAAACTATCAAAATGACTCCCATAGAGGTGGTCACACATCTTGCTGATCCATGAATGATCAGCATCTGGGTAGATTTCAAGAACCGTAGAAATGGCTTGAGTCCTGAATGAATTTTACGGAACTGAATAGAGCACAGAGTTTCATTTTACCCTTACTAGTGAAAGAGGATGTGAGATTCAAGCCATGCCATGACATTAGTCTTGATGTCGTCTTCCATGTCTGTATTTCTCTTTTAGGCCACTGCGCATGTCCAGAAATTCCCATAAGAAAATTGACTTTGCAACCGGAACCTGGAAATTGCTTCAATGTCAATTACACATATCGCTATACGTGCATTCCCGGTTTCGTGAGGAAGGCCGGAACGTCGAATCTCATCAAGTGCAGCAGTCATTCGCAGTGGACCACTACCAAATTTCCACTCGAGTGCATACGTAAGACCTTTTTCTTTCTCTTCCAACGTTTAACAATAAAACTTTATCAAGGCGTTGGGTTTCAGGAATAGAAACTTGACCAGGGCACGTCTTATGGGTCGGTGCCTTGAAGCAGTCCAGGGAAACTAAATCAGAGTATTATTGTGAGGTGGCACATGTGAGCCGAGAAAACATTTCTGAAGGGCGAAACTGGAGGAACTAGTCTGAAACCCCAGGGAACACAGTACATGCATGTCTACACATGGACCTGGTGGGAAGAGATTCTGGCCTGCAGCTTTAACTCCTGCACAGGTTGTCACGCCTGCTGACATATCAGAACGGAAGAAAACGATGATTTACACGCCTCAAAATGGAGTAAAATTACAGCCTAAGACAAGGATCAATAGGAAGCCGAAGGGGACGGGTAGTAATTGAGTCTAAATCATCCTGCGTGGGAAACAGAAACCTGTGACGGTGTGACTTTCAGCTTTTGAAACTCAGAAACGTTCACAATTTTTCTGGGAAATTTGTGAGATGAATTTCAAAATGTCAGTTTTCTCCCTCAATTTTTTTGACTTTTCAAACTCAAGACACTTCCGAGTTGTGTTTTTTTTTTCTGTCTACAAAGGCAGTGTTCAACATTTGAAGCTCAAAAATGTTTCTGTTTTTCCTTGAAAATTCCTGACATTGATATCAGAAAAAAACAAAACAAAAACAAACACCTGAATTTTTTTCTGGAATATTTCTGAGATAAATCTCAAAATGTCAGAGGTCTCAGCAGAAGCACGCTCCTTTCTGTTCAACCCGCGATGCCGTCGCAGAAACCAAAACGACCGAGAAGAAACGCAACAAGACATGAGAGCCAAACGATTATAAACGAAGTTGCGGAAGGTAAACGAAAGCCGACATGTAACCAATAAAATCTTCGAGGCGTGAAACGAAAGGAGCACAAAACTCTCGCTCAGCCTGTAAACCAGGACAGGACCAGCTGCTAGTCTGAGCTGGAAATGAACACCGACCCAGAGAAACCTTTATGGAATAATACTTTATTTAGACATAAACAAGAATGCATTTAGCTCAAAGATGCCAAACAGACATTCCAATTGATCCTTGTCTGCAAACAGTGTATAGTTTAGTTCATTATGCAAATTAGTTTAAAAAATGTTCTGTTTAAGAAAACCCAGCAGATGGGATGAAGTTGTTGATTTGCTGTTTTAGAGGTTAAAAAAACAAACAAACTGGGAGCATGAACTTCCTGTGATGTTTCTGAGATTGGACCCCGTTAGCCGGCCTTTGTCTAGGACCCTCTTAGACTAGCTGTTCGCTTCACACGATCAAAGCTTCTACTGAATGAAGCAAATCAATCTACAGATAAGATGTTAACTACTAATAAATGTCCAACAGAATCCCCCTTCCAGCCCCCTGACCGCTCCCTCCTGAGCTGGACATTAATGAACTCGCTTTCATTGTTTCAGCTCATCCAGACTCAACTCCTCCACTGACAACACACATTCCAGGTATGAAACTTCTTCTCTCTTTTTTTCTAATGTTAAATGCCTGAAAAAAAAATAGATGTTTTATTTCAGTTAAAAATTCAAGATTCTTTTGATATATTTTAAATGCAAGTGCACTGCAACAACTTTTTTTTTTTTACGGATTCCCTTAAGTAGAATACTTCTGTTTGCTAAATCCTTGTAAATGTAGATGCACTATGCTACCGAGGCAGTTTACTATATTGACATTGATTCATTACACTTTTAATCTATCATGTCATTGAGGAATGTTAGTCATTATGCCGCCTGTACCAGCTTGAATTATACAGCACGTTAATACCAAAGGATAAAAGGTGTGTCGGAACAAGGTCAAAAAGTATTATTAGAAACTAGAAAGATCCTCAAAAGAGGTCTCCAGTCCTTCCACACGAAGGACTGGAGACCACACATTTCATTAGCATGGTTAAAACACAAGGAATTTCTTAAATATGCTAAAAGAATCTACTAAAACAGCCACACACCATGACAGACATATTAAAGACGGTTGATTCAGAAGACTTGCAGCATTTGAAGGAAGCCAAAGAAGCTCTGAAGTTGGGAAGTAACATTTAGACTTTTACTTAAAATATGAATGGGTTGTGTTTTCCATATTTTGTTTAGCTACAATCTGTTAGATTGCTGTTGGATTTGTTTTCTAATAATAATAATAAAAATAATGTTACAATTTGGACTTTTTGTAGGAATAGGTGTGCATTATCTGCACACAGTGAAACTTAGTGTTTGGGTTTTATCATGCCTTTTCTTCTTATTTATTTATTTTTGCCCTGAAAAGCTCTGAAGTCTATGGATGAACTATTAATTTATTCTGTTTCAGATGGTTCAAGCATCACAACTGCGGCACTAAACCAACCAGGTATGATCAATGAGTGCAACTGAAGCCCGTATCCCTGTGTCTTTGATCAGATTGCCATTTCATAACGTTACATTTAAAGTAGGCTTTTTAAGTAGTGATATGAGCCAAATGTTTTGCAGCCAGTGTAGGATCAATGTTGGTCAGGCTGCACCTCTACAGTTGTCGAGTTTTGTATTTGACTAAATTTCACGCTTGAAATGAACATATGAAAGACGTTTTAGATTGTAACACTATTTATGGTATGATTACATTAGGTACAACATACAGCAACATTTCATTTACTTTGGTAAAGAAATATATATTTGGACTGAATTGAATAAAGTCAAAAGTTGAATATTGTTTTTTAGCTGTGACAAGTGTTCTAACTTTTTGCCGCTGCTTGTTTTGATAAAGCAGCAGACATGACAAGACTCAGGCCTGCTAAAGAAAGTGAAACGTTAGGTTCTGTTTTCGCAGCAGCACGTGTTCTACAGCGGTACTTTTATCGATATGTGGTTCAAGTATGTGGATAAACACATATTTGTCATTTCACCTAGAGGGCATTACTACATGTCTTTAGGCGGCAGGTTGAAACATGTTGGTATGTGGGCTGCAGTAAATAAAGTTTCTAACTGTCGTAATTTCAATTAGAAGCTCAACCCTTAACAGGTTTTGTTTCCTTTCTCTGTACCTTTGATGTGTTTTCCTGAACTCCTCTTGATTAAATTAAAATGAAACAAATTTTTGTCAGAACTGGGTTCAGTTAGTCTGATGGAGTTGTTCTGATGAAACCTTTTTAATGTGCTGAAGTCTGGTTCCAATTGATGAGAGCTTGGTAGCATGAATTGCTGTGACTGCGGCGCAGTTTGAGCATGTTCTTCTAAAACTGACAAACTGGTAAATGTAACTATGAGTTTCCATTAACTGTGCATAAACTTAGCATAAAGTCTTGCGTGTTCTTTAACTGGACCAGTTGAGTCTACTTGTTCTCCAGTGCCAGCAAAAAAAACAACAACCAAAAAACCAGAACTATTCTGACAACACGAAACAGCCTTAAAATTGTCAGAGTCGACTGGACTTTGACTTTTTTAAAATTTTGCTTCCAACTCATATTTTATTTTATTCCTGTGTTTTAGGTTACTGGTGTTACTTTTACCTCAGTGCCTCATTTTCCTGGTCTTCAATAGCTTTTTCCCATTCACTCATTCATTCACCCGTGTGTCATCCCATAATCCTTGTCCCCGTTATAAATACACCCCAGTTCAGTTGCTCCTTTGTCAGGTCCTCTGTTATTTTTCAATCTGCTCCTTTAATTGTGTTTTTCCACTTTGCTTCTCCCGTATCGTCTCTGAAACTGAGTCCCCAACAACTCCCAATACATGACAGTAGCCCTGCTCTGAAAGCATGTGAGAAGCAAAGCCACCGACATCTATCAGTCCGGGAGCAAATGACAGAGAAAAGCTGTGGTGTAATCTGAAGCATGCCGTTCATGCTAGAAACCCTCAAATGAATCTGAAAAGAGGAAATACTCCGCCACGCTGTGTCCTACTCAGCAAATTCTTAGAAATTACGCAACTGGTCATAAAAAGTGGATGAATGAGTAAAACCATCGTCTGAAAATGTTTCAGGTCTTTTTGCAATTTTGTTTTTGTTAATTTTTGCTGTTGGCGTTAAAAGAAGTAAACAGAAATACTTAAAGGACAGCAGGAAGAGAGAAGGTTTTGCTAAAAAGTAACAGATAGTAGCTTCTTTTCTATTTTGCAGGAACGTCCACCAGCCATCCGAGTGGAAGAAGCTCAGCTACTGAAACTACAAGCTCAGCTAATATGGAGCAAAGTACATCAGGTAAGAAGCATGGAATCCTATCAGCTACTTTCATCCAATCAATGAGTCAACCAACCAACCAACCAACCAACCAACCAACCTACCTACCTACCTACCTACCTACCTACCTACCTACCTACCTACCTACCTACCTACCTACCTACCTACCTACCTACCTACCTACCTACCTACCTACCTACCTACCTACCTACCTACCTACCTACCTACCTACCTATCTATCTATCTATCTATCTATCTATCTATCTATCTATCTATCTATCTATCTATCTATCTATCTATCTATCTATCTATCTATCTATCTATCTATCTATCTATCTATCTATCTATCTATCTATCTATCTATCTATCTATCTATCTATCTATCTATCTATCTATCTATCTATCTATCTATCTATCTATCTATCTATCTATCTATCTGATCATATCAATCTATCTTTAAAGAGCACCCAAAGTGACCACAGGGGTGTTCAGGTACATAAGCGACCAAAACAACGGCCTAAAAATTTTATGTATTATTTCTGTTATTATAAATGAAAACATGAACTATAAGACACAAACACCTACAATAAAACAGTTAGCCACTAGGGGGCACAGGTAGCAGTTTGCTGGTCAATCTCCAATCTTTATTCACCTGTGATCTGCTGTTTCTTGACCAATGAGGGCAAACACCTGTATTGTGGCCCTAATACACCTTCGATTTTTTTATTCCACATTGTATTAGATAATGAGGCGTCTGACTGTTTAAATATGAAAAACAGACAAAATTAAAGTCTTGACATTTCAGTAGGAGTGTATTCTAAGTGGTAATCCTGTTCTTAACTTTTGGTTAGTTAGGTTGTCATGCCACAATCGTATATCCACTCTATTTCACTTTCTTTTATTTTCAGATGTGACATTTGTTTTTTATAACTAATGTGGCAAAATAATCTTTTTGTGTGTAGAAACTAAAAGCACAACCACAGTGGTTTCCTATAAAACTTGGAGCTCCACGTACTCACCAAGTAGCCATAGCAACGGAAGCAGCTCTATGAAAGAAACCTCCACAGAAACCTCCACAGGTAATTCTATATTCTAACTTCCTGGAAGACTCTAGCTCGATGCTGGCTATTGTTATTGACACCTTTGGTAAAGATGTAAATAAATGAATCTGGGTCATTTGTCCACATCTGTATCAAATGTGAAAAATACCAAGGAGAAGGTCTGTCTCCCACTGTTGGTGGACATAGACCTGAACCCCCTCAGCTAAATAATCAGCAAAACTGGCATTGGATACCAACTCAGAAAAAGGCCAACTTTCAGGCACCTCCCTGACATGGATTATAGATGCGCAGTATGGTAAGAGTGGGCGAGACATTGATTCACCGGTTCACACCACATGTATACAGCAGGGACATCAGAATACCATTTGGGAAGTCAACAGCTGTGCCTTGTCACATCTTTATTTAAAGTAAAAAAAATTCTATAATTCGGAATCCATTATGTTGCAAAAATCAACTTGATAATTTTTCCACCATAACAATTTCTGACAGTAAGGATGATAAAAACACGTGTGTTAGCTGAGCATGTTTGTTTCTCTATGTTCCCCATTAGCAGCAGACACCACAACAATTGGCGTCGCTTCATCTGTGGTGATCCTATTAGTTTGCATGAGTGGCGTCCTCTTCATACTTTATCGAAGGTAAGCGGGCAAAGAAAGCAATGGCATTAAACACACATCTCAAGAATTCGTGCTGACAAAATGTCCCTTTTATGTTTTCCTGCGTTAGGAGGAAACGGCCGATTCCCCCTCAGGAAACAGAGGAGATGCAGCCAATGAACAACCCGTCTTGAGCCGTGATGTAGAATTTGTACAGAGTTTTTCAGAAGGACTGCAGAAAAGAGGAAGGAAGAACGAGCAGCCTGTATTTAAAAATGCCACTGTGATATCACCCTCATGCTTGTGAAATGCTGTTTTGAAACCTGGAATCTGCCATCTTGTCTACTTTATAAACATATAGGACAAATCATCTGTAAATATGTTATCTTCAGATTTAAGATTTATTCAACATAATCTGCTGGATGTCAAATCTCTAAAAGGAATAGAGGAGACTGGGGTAATTTGAGCCAAAGGATAAGTTGATTTATCAGTTGGAAAAAAACAAACAACATTGATCATGTCACCAAATAGGAGGAATCATTATTTAATGAAGTCTGACTGTTAGAACCGCTGTTGAATTGTGCACAACTACGGCTTAACTCACCCCGCACTTATGCTTGTTTTACCTCACATGTGGGGTAAGTAGAGCCATGAGAACTTAAAAAAATAAATTCTATAATATCTCAATAGTTTACACTTGTTCCGATTATTTGAAGAGATGCCTAACATCCTTATATATGTAAGGATGTTATACAGTAAGGCTAATATATCTGCCTGATGCCTCCACTGCCTTCCTTCACCACAATTTTAGAAAAATAAACTTCTGTTTTAGTCTGGTTTTGTTATTAATGTGTGCTAAACACGTAAGTTCAACTGTGCGTGGAGAAAGATGAACGCAAACATCATGACTGATTTGAAAAAAAAAATCACAATAATAACAATCGCTGGCCCTTTAAATCATCAGTGCGAAATTCAACTCCCACAGTGAAATGACATGTTCTCGATACTCATATCATCCAAGTATCGTCATAGTGGATGGTGATGCAGTGTGTCAGGAAGGCTTCCCAATAGCAGTCAGTCCTGCAGTGACTGAACAGACCTCTGACTGAAGACTGTTGCTTTGTGACAAAATTGTGTTTTTGTTGAACAAACACTCATTTAAGAGTTGGAACAGACATTTTGCTATATTGAGACCTCAAGGTTTAGCCATGTATATGGAATACAGTGTAAATTTTCTGAAATTGGCAATGCACTAATAAAGTGAATTTTCTAACAACTATGACCCTATCAATCAGATTATAATTTCATTTATGTGATTGCAACTGGTAGGGATTAATTTAGAAATTGTTATTATTATTATTATTATTATTATTATTATTATTATTTTTTAAAACGTAACATTTGAAATCTTGCCATTTGTAACACTGATACTCTTGGGGGCCCTCTGCTGCCCGGGAGGTCCAAACAGCAGCCAGCTCTATGACCAGCACACAGTGCTTAGTCAATGTAAATTTTACAATGTTTGAAGTCTTTTGATTTCTCTATTTTTATTTTTTGCAATCAAATCACTAATATCAATGCTGCGCTTTACTAGGCATGCACTGTTTCACTCTATAGCCTTAATCTTACATAGTGCCTCAAAACTACTTTGTTGTAACGTATCAGCGGAATGCACTCTTTAGAACATTTAAATTTTTTTGTGACTGTAAATATTCTTATTTGTTGCTTGACCTAAACATTTATGAAATGTCAGGAAGTTGGCAATCATTTTGATATCTTTCCTGTTTATATTTTCTAGACTGTTATGTATTTTTGAAATTAACTGACCTGTGTGTTCAGAATGAGATGGACAACAAAATATTTACTAAAACTTACTTGCGTTCTGACAAGGCAATCCAAATGTTAGTTTCAGGTGTGGTATATCAGGCAAACATCTAATAGTTGGAATGTTGAAGTCTGACGCTTAGCTATAGATGGTTAGCAGCTAGCTAACCCAAAGAACTAGATGCTAGCTGTTAGAGTTTTGAGCTAGCCAAAAGCAACTGACACAATATTTGGTTTTACACTGAAGCCACCAACATGTATTTTTAGCTTGACAGTTAGCTTTAGAAAGTTAGCGGCTAACAAAAGAACTAGCTAGCTGTTAATGTTTTAACTAACCAAAAGCGACTGACAATGTTTTAAAGGCTGAAGTCAACAACTACAGCACTAAATGGATCTAGCCAGAAGAACTATGCTAGTTGTTTGAGTTTTGAACTAGCCAAAACTGAAAATGTTTTACACTTAAGCCACAAACTATTATTTTATTGGGATTGTATGGGCTGGAGCAATATAAACCAGTTCCTATTTATGAAATTGGAAGGAATAGTTACGTGGCTGTAAAAGAAAATGTTTGGCAGGTTTTCTTGCAGGATTCCAGCTTTAGGTTGCATCCATCTTCCCAGCAGCTACGCCTCTGTCGCTGATGAAGAAAAGCATCCTCACTTTCTGATTATGCCACCACCATGTTTCACTATGGCAATGTTACGTTTAGGGTAATACGTCTAGTTTTCTGCCACATTTAGGGTTAGGTTTGCACTCAGACCAAGCTGCGTAATTTAGTTCTCTTGGGACCAGAGCATTTCCTTCTTCTGTTTGCTGAGTGAAATCTGATCTGATCTTCATTTGATTTAGCTGCCATTTAGCTGTGAGATGGTGAAGAATGACCTGCATCAGTTGCATGTTTACATCTTCCTGGAAGATGTTTGGAGTATGTTTACATGTATATGATTCTTATCTCAGCTCTGACACATTTGTGCAAGTTTCCAGCGCTTATTTCAAAGATAAACTGCTTCGGTTGACGACTTTGGAATTTTGAAGTACTTTACAGTCAGATTGTTTATTCCTACGTAAACTCTGGCCGGCCCTTTCCTTACAGCCTGTCTCAAAAGCAAACAAACGATGGGTGGGGTTCGCCTGGATTTGTAAGCAGACCACAACGGAGCCAAAGCAGAAACACATCGCCACAGTTCCATCAATTCATAATGCATAGTTAATGTGGCATTGTGTTTTCGAAGTAACTGCAGAAGCTGGAGTTAACCCGCGCAAACAGACCTCACATAGAGCAGGAGCCTTCTGGGAGGAGAACACAATAACATCTGTTCTACTATAAAGCCCATTCGTTTGAAAAAGAGTCACAATTCTACATATAAGTTGCTAAATAAATTTCATATTTTGTGTGATTGTTCAAATCTAATTTGAGATGCTCTAACGAAGCAAGTAAATGTTGTAGTGATCCAGAATGAATCATTTATTTATTTTCGATTGGGTTTTTAAAAACACTGACACCGCCTATTTTAATAGTTCAAACACCAACTGTACTTTAAAATATCTTAATGCACACAGCAGAAACCGTCTTTGTGCTTCCATAAAGCAAAACATCCACTGTCTTTCATATCTTCGCCAATCAGAAGCCAAGGAAAATGCATGGCTGTTGTCCTTTACAAAGGGAAATTACAACTTAACATTAGTAACACAGTACTTACACTGCTGCTCAGAGTAAATCAGTTTTGCAGCTGGTCAGTTTATGAGGTCGAACATTGAACCGTTTCTCATGCATTTGCTGATTTTGTTTTCATTTTTCATGTTTTTTTTTCATAGTTTAGTGTCACTCCAATAGTGAACAACAGCACGTAAAGTGGTGCTTTTTCTAAATTATTTTTGTGTCCCCAATAGACAAAAATAATTCCACTATCTAGTTTTGTTTTTTTATTTTTATTTTATTTTTTACCTTGAGTCACATTAGAGATGGAGGGATAATGGGACGGAACCAGAGATGTATCTTTTTCTCCAGAAAACATGATGCCTTTGCATTTGTCAACATGCTTTACACATTCTTGTTTTCAACATGTCATTAATATCCTTTTTCATGAGTGATTCTTTAGGTGCAGTCTGGGACAGAGTGCGTCCATGATTCTATAATTCCCTTTCTTTGACTAGTGTTGCACTTGTACATCTGGAGGACTTTTAACAAGCTGCAGTGAACACCTCGTTTGAATTTAATATGCAGACGTTACTGATTACGTTGCTCTTTTGAAGTTGGGTGAAGTCTGATTGAAATGCGATGCGATCCCAGAGAGGTTCACAGAACTCCAGAAAGGGAAGAGATGAAAGGATCCTGACAATATTAATAATGTGACTGTTTGATGTTGCAAAAATGCTCTGGCCACAACCTTTGTCGAACTTTTTCAGCTCCCTTTTCCCACGACCTGATCATAAATTGGCAGATTGTTGCTTGGAAACCAGAGGCAAAGTCCACATGTTCTGCAACGGAACCGAAGTTCAAATTATTTGTGGAAAACTCACTTGCTCACAGGTGTGTTTGTAGTGTAAATAAAAAAAAAAAATTATATTCACAAGAAAATGCAACTCAGAAAGTTGAGAAACATGGAAGAAAATGCACTTGGCATGCAAATAGATGCTGTTTTCTGAGAGGTGTGACTTCCACACCCACACTTCATCTCTTCACTCTCGGTAAAATGATTTGCATAAACTGGAACTCAAGACTTTTTTTTTTTGCAGAAACCCCGCAACAAGTGGTTCTGCATTTGATTGGCCAACGATCTGACCTGACCCTACAGCGACATCTTCTGGTATTGATGGGAGAATCTCAACATGTAGCTGCTGACACTTTGCAGCTGCTTTTCTTGTACTGTTGCCAGGCCACAATATCAGCACCTCCCATCCCTCATTCCAGGTCGTTTTCTTCTTCGTTGCGTCTGAACAGAAACACTCTTTCTAAAACGACTCTTGAGTTGTGGAAAACTGTTCGTTTCACTGATAGGACTTAAATAGTCACATCAGGTTTCTCTGCTCATGTTTGCTGCCGTCAGTCATTTGCCAAAGTCCAACCATGTGACTTCATCTTGTGGCCAGCCGAAGGCAAACAAAAACAAGATTTTTTTATTCCAGGGGGAAGATTGGGTGTCGAGTCAGAATCCATTGTTCCAATAGCTCACAACAGTAGCTAAGTGAACAATTCAAAGCGATGCATATTGAAAAAGATGATATAAATCAGTCAGTGAAAGCTACATACTGTTAATAAAGTTCTTGTTTTGCTCCAATGATTGTCTTCTGCACAATGCAATGCACCGCTGCATACATATGCAAATAATTAGTTGGAATTTGGAGGGAGAGTTGCAGTGTGTCAGTGGTGTGTGTGCATGCGTGTGTGTGTCGACAGCTGGTGTGTTGTTGGCTGCTTCCAGATGTTTAACTCTTGTCCGTAAATAAGCTCAGTGGATCCTGTCAAAACTAGATCGTTTAGGAGAAACATACAATAATAATAATAATAATAACAGGATCCATTGCGCAAGGCAGATTAATTACCCTATGCCAGTTTGTTCAATTATTTGAGTTTTTGGATTTGCTTTGCATTTTCTTCTTGTTTTAGCTCATTCCTTCTGTTAGTTCGGCTTGTCAGCCGAGGTTTACGGATTTATTTTTGTCTCTCATCATTTTGTCTTAGCAACTTCGCCACTTAATCCTCTTCCCCGCAATGGAAAAATGTTATTAATATCCTTTTTAAAATCTTACCAAGTATTTTTTTTGTGTGTGTGTGTGTGTCTTGTTTGGTCCATATGGCCATTCCATCCTCCTG